TATATTCCAATTCATATACAAAAACTTCACATAGAAGAAAAACAAAACATAGTGATAATTTATTTTACCAAGGGTTATGCCATATCTATAAGTGACAAATTTGCCTGAAGACAGAGTATGACTCCTTCATAAAATCATGTAAAAAAAACCTTTTTTTTTAATTAACAAATGGTATTGAAAGCATGACTGCCAATAGCATCACACTGAGTTGCTCACTTTTCTTCCAAAGATACCAAGACATTGTCACATTTATCATTTTCCTTTGTCCTTTTAGCAGAATTGGTAAACAACTTGTGCTTCTTCTTAATACTGCAATACTAGTCATGGGGAAACCGAGGGATTCATAAACTTGCAAGCAGTCACAAAACAAGCTTTGAGCAAAACAGCACTTTCTCTTAATCTGAGTTTCTCCAACTAGACAATGTAGGACTTCGTTCATTTTTATCCCGCATCAGCACATATACTGTAAAACCAAAGCCAGGTAATGTCACTAATAATTTTCTATTGAAGTTGCCCAACATTCTTCATTTCTTTTGGTGGGGAGGGGAAGGTGTAAGGGGGACACCCAGCAGTGCTCAAGGTTTACTTCTAGCTTTGCGCTCAGCAGTCACTCTTGGTGGGCTGGGGAGACCATTTGGGGGTGCTAGGGATTGAACCTGGGCCAGACACATGCCAGGAAACACCTGGCCTGCTATATTATCACTCAGCCCCCCAACATTCTGCCTTTCAACTCAATTTCAGAACCACAATGAAAATCTCAGGTTCTAAATGAAGAAAACAGGCTCTACTAGAACACTGCTATTTGTTCAAACTGCACCCTTTTCTTCCACCAAATTGCTGTTTTGCTTGACCTTCAAAGGTCTTTGGGACTCAGGGAAATCTTCCTTATTGAAAATAGAAATATTATTTCATAGCATATAAAATTCAAGAAGAGTAACTTACAGAACTTTTTCTTAAAAGTGAAAATGTTGAATGCTGGATGCTCAAGATAATTTGGTACATCTTCATTAGGTTATGTTTTATTTATAAAAGTATTCATGGAACTTCATCAGCTACAATTCTCTTTCGTTGCATTATTTTTCTTTTTTGGATAACATTACAAAATGGTCCCCCCAAAGGGTTCTTAGGAAAACACTTTTCCAGATACGGGTCCCCAAGAACATCAGAGTAATAAATCAAGTACTCTTCACAAAGAAAGACAACTGATATTTCCAGCAAATGTATTTGGGAGCCAGAAAACTCGTCTTCAACTTGGGATTTTTCTAACAATTTAGCAATAAAAACATAGAAAATAAACAGGTTACTTCTAAATCATAGAGTAATTTTTTGGACTGGAAAACAGGCAATCCAATTCCTTAAAATCTACAGGGAATACTCAATAAATGTGACTGTCCAACTAAAGCTTTCATTCTCCAGGTTTTACTTCTCTTAATTTTTATTGTCTGATTATTTCGCTATTCTACAAGTTTCAATTAATGACCATGTTAAATACAACATATGTTCCTTGGGAAAAAACAGAAAGGAGTCAGGTTTTCTTGGGTATCCTCCACTGACATTCCATATCTTATGCCTAAGAAACACTTTACCATCTGGAACTGATATGGTTCAATAGAAAGGGCATGGGGTGGGGGGGGGAGGGTTGTGTTCTCAAATGAGAAAACAATTTGCTATAGCTGTTGTTTCACTGGTGGAAAGGGTCCTTATTCTTTAAAGTCAATTTCCCCTACATTGTTCTCCCTAAATAGACTTTCCCCTGTCTTTGAGGGAGATAAGGGTGTAGGACAGTCAGGCTGGAAGTTCTGAGAGCATAATCGAGTATTTCCCATGTAGAAGAGATGGTACAGTGGGTAGGGCATTTGCCTTGCACACAGCTGACCCATGATCTCCTGAACACTGCCAGGAATAACTGCCAGGTGTGGCCCCCAAACCAAAAATAAAACAAGACAAAAACAATTCCCACCTTTGGGGCTGGAGAGACATTTTAGGGGGTAAGGCATTTGCCTTGCACACGGCCGACCCAGGTTCAATCCCCAGCAATCATATGGCCCCCTGAGCACTGCCAGGAGTAATTCCTGAGTGCAGAGTCAGGAGTAAGCCCTCAGCATTGCCAGGTGTGTGCCCACCCCTCCAAAGAAAGAAAGATCTGTGGCTGAATAAATAGCAGCACTCCTACATAAAACAAAAACAAAAACAAAAAAACACAAAGAAAGAAAGAATTCCCACTGTTTCGACCTCTGATTCTGGTTATGGGAACGGAACCAGAAGAGCTGCATGAAGACCCAGACACCTGAGGTTTAGGGCTCTGTGGCGCTCCCTTGATGAAGTGAGAAACTTGCCCAACTCACAAGCATGTGTCTATTCCTCCTGCTCGCTACTGTTTTAATTAGCTATGTGAGGGTTTTTAATTCACTGTGAACCAACATGAACACATCGCTTTTGTAGTCTGATGACAGCGATGCTCCTTTCCCTCTTCTGTAAAATGATCTCAAGCCATCGAATTTCTTTTATTCCTTCCTAGCAATTTTATACAACAAATTCCCTACATTTCTAAAGAACTCAGGTATAGAAGCAAGAGTCTATAACACATTTGGAAACTTTACTTTCAAGAAAACCACTGTATGCATTTAAACATGCACAAATCCTTAAGTATGTAAATAGACCCTTTAATTTATAAATCTGTTTTTCACTAAAAAGTCCTTTTAACTTCTTCAACTCCATCCTTGTATGTATGAAATCCCCTTCTGGGTCTCTTTCTAAATTATCCTTACTGTCGCTTTCACTTAAAAATGTTATTTAATAATAAGCGTGGAGGAGAAATGATGTCATAGATTCAGTTTCTTTCCTTTAAACGTACAATTTACTAGTATCACAAGTAATCAAGAAGTTTATATGATAAGATAATGGGACAATTGGGTAAATGATACCTATTTTTCCACAAACCCTCAATAGCTCCCATTGATCTTTTTAGCAATCTGGCAAATCAATCCAAAATGAAATTAAGCATTTATAAACTCTTACAGGATTTAACCAGCTGACCTAGCTTATTGGTAGAAAACTGTCTGGCACAATTAACTGAGAATCACAGATTTAGAAATGAAACATTCCATGACTATCTCTGCCCCGAGAAGGGCATAATGTTACACTGTGTTTCTTTATCCTCTCCCACCCCCTGAAGAAACAGGGCTGTCATTATGCGCTCTTATTTCACGTCCGACCTCAGCCACTGGGTTTGGGAAGACATGATTTTTCCACTAAGGTGGAGAGACAATATTTCTGTATTATTTACAAGTCAGGACATTTCTGTTGCTTTTAATGATCAAAGCCTCTTTTGCGATTGAAAAAAAAACAAAAAACCAAACCTGCCAACAACAGTGGCTCTTCAAAGACTAGAGAACTGCGTCTAAGGATAAAGCTGTGGCAGATATGAAATCTGTCATTTTCCCTAAATTAGGATCAGCGTGTCGAAGTTCAAGAGCTGCCACCCGCATTTAAGAGATGGGGGGGGGGGGCGGGGGGGGGGGAGAAAAGAGAAGGGCCTTCACTCTTCTCTTCGGCCAGAAAGTCGCTAGAAGGTGCTAAAGCGGCAGCCTTGGCACAGCGGCTGGGGCAGGAGAGGGTGCGAGGCGTGCCCCCCGGTCCGGGCCCCACCCGAGCCTTGCAGCACCCCGGCTCCAGCTCAGGGGTCCAGAACGAACAAAAGAGCCCCAACTACTGAACGCAGGAGGGTCCGGGCGGGTGGGGCCTCCGAGGCTGACTTCGTGCTGCAAGGTGAACCCAGTCCGAGACTTGCACTGGGGCTCGCGGGGCTGGAAATCCCAGCGAAAGAAAGACGCGAACTCGGAGCAGCGCGGTCCGACTCGGCCCGCGCCTCTCCCCTTCCTGCAGGCCGACCTCGCCCGGGTCGAGCCGCCGCCTCCTCCAGGCCGGCTCGGAGCGGGGCCTTCGGCCGCAGGACGGCGCCTCCGGACCCGTCCGGCGCGCCCTGCCCGGGGCATCAACCCCTCTGCCCGCCGCCCGGGGGGCCACGTCCCGTCCGCGGGGGGGCAGGCTGCCGCGGCCCGCTCCCTCCTCCGGCCCCGCGACCCCGCCCAGGCCCCTCCCGGGCCGTCCGCGGGTCCGGGCTGCGGCCCCCGGGCGCCGCGGCACATGCCCTCCGCCCCCCCGCCCCGCCCCGCGAGCAGCGGACGCGCGGCCGCTGCCCTGGGGCCCCGCGCCCGCCGCCGTCGGCCGCCGCCGCGCCCCCGGGCGCTGACAGCCCTCGGGGGTCCGGGAAAGAGAAAGCAGAAAAAAGGCTCCCCCCCAGCCCCTCCCCAGCCGCTCCCCCGCCCCGCGCCGGCCGGCCCCGCCCCCGGGCGCCACGCGCGGCGCGGCGCGGAGGGGCGGGGCGCTGACGTCACGACGGCGCGCGTCACGGGACGGCGGCGGCTGCGGCGCTGGCGGCGGCTGCGGCAGCGGCGGCATTTTAGTCGGCGGCGGCGGCGGCGCTGGCAGCTGCGCGGCTGCCGCTGCTCCTCCCGGCGTCCCGGCGCGGCCCTCTGCTGCCTCCTCGGCCGAGGGGCGGGCGCGGCGCCGCCGCCCGAGCGCTCCGAAGCCTCCGTCCTGCCCCGCGGGGCCGCCTGCGCCGCCAGCGCCGCTCCCCCCCGCGCGCGCCCGACGAGAGCGGCGGCCGCGGGAGGGAGGAGGCCGGGCCGCGGGGGCGGCTCCCCTCGGGGCCCGAGCCCGCGCCGCGCCGCCCCCGAGCGCGCTTCCGCCGCCGCCGCCGCCGCCGCCATGGCCCCGGGGCTGAGCTCCGGCTAGAGCCGGCCCGGGAGGCGCCCGCCCCTGCGCCCGCCGCGCGTGCGGGAGAGAAGCCGCGGGGAGCGCCCGCCGCCGCCGCCGCCGCCGAGGAGGAGGAGCCGGGGCCGCCGCCGCCGCCGCCGCCGCGGGGCGCAGGAAGCCGGGCGGGGACGCGGCGGACGAGGATGCGCGAGCGAGCGGCCGGCGCCGCCCGCAGCCCGTGACCCGCCCCGCGCCGCCGCCGCCGCCGCCCGCGGGCCGGCCGGCCGCCCGCCTCGCCATGTCCAAGATGCCGGCCAAGAAGAAGAGCTGCTTCCAGATCACCAGCGTGACCACGGCCCAGGTGGCCACGAGCATCACCGAGGACACCGAGAGCCTGGACGACCCGGACGAGTCGCGCACCGAGGACGTCTCGTCCGAGATCTTCGACGTGTCCCGGGCCACGGATTTCGGCCCCGAGGAGGCGTGCGAGCGCAGCTCGTCCGAGGAGACGCTCAACAACGTGGGCGACGCCGAGACGCCGGGCGCCGTGTCCCCGAACCTGCCCCCGGACGGGCCGCTGGCGCCCGCCAAGCCCGCCCAGCCCGCGCCCGCGCCCGCGCCGTCCCCCGCCGCCGCCGCCGCCGCCGCCGCGGCGGCCGCCGCGTGCAGCTCGCGCTTCCGCGTCATCAAGCTGGACCACGGCAGCGGCGAGCCCTTCCGCCGGGGCCGGTGGACGTGCGTGGAGTACTACGAGCGCGACGCCGACGGCAGCGTGCTCGCGCGCTCCGGGGACTGCATCCGGCACGGCGGGGCCCCGGAGCCCGCCGCCGAGCGGGACAGCGGCCTGGGCGCCACCGGGGGCTCGGCGACGGTCGTGCTGGCCTCGCTGCCCGCGCCCGAGCCGGGCCCCGACGCCGGCCCGCCGCCGCCGCCGCCCTTCCCCGGAGCCGCGCCCCCGGGGAGCGCGGCCCCCGCGGGGCCCGGCGGCGCGGGGCTGCCGCTGGCGACCGTCGCCCGGGCGCAGCCCGGCGCCCCGGCGACGGCCCCGCCGCCCCCGCCCTTCGCCTACCCCGGGCCGCCCGCCGGGGCGCCCGGCGAGTTCCTGCCGCCGCCCGAGCGCGTCCTCGTCCTGCCCGGCGGCGACCCCGCGGGGCCGCCGGGCCTGCCGCCCCCTCCCGTGCCTGCGCCGCCCCCCGCCGCGCCGCCCGGGGTCGCCAACGTGCCTGCGGCCGCGCCCGCGCCCAGCGTGCCTAGCGCCCCCGCCGCGCCCCTCGCTATGCCAAATGCCCCCGGCGGCGGCGCCGTCCAGCACGCGGGGCTGCCCCTGGCGCCCGGCGCCCCCGCCGGCCTCCCGCCGCCCGACCCGAGCCAGCTGCAGGCCCCGGCCCCGGCCCCGCCGCCGGCCGGGCCCGGCCCCGCCGCCGAGACGCGCAGGAAGTCCGAGCCCCTACCTCAGCCGCCGCCCGCCCTCCTCGCGGACAGCAAGCCTGCCGCGAAGCCGGGGGCCGACGCCCCGGCCACCCCCCTGCAGCTGACGCCCATGACCAGCCTGGCCACCTCCGTGTTCAGCATCGCCATCCCCGTCGACGGCGACGAGGACAGGTACGCAGACCGCCGCCCGCCGCGCCCGCGGCCCGAGCTCGGGAGGCTCCGGGGCGGGGGTGGGGTCCTGCCGCCCCGGCCCCGGGCGCCCCCTCGGCGGGGCGGGCGACGCCGGGACGGACGGGCTTGCCTGCGGCGCAGTCGGCCGCCCTCGCGAAGCGCCGGGCCCGCGGGCGGCCGGTGGCGAGGAGCGCCCCGGGGATGCTCGGGCCCGCGGGTCCCGCTGCTGCCGCTCCGCCCCGGGGCCGGCCGGGAGGAAAGGAAGGCCCCGCGGGCAGGGCCCCTGGTCCGGTCGCGCCCCGGGAGCGAGTTCGCGAGGGGGAATTCGGGCTCCATCCCGGAACCACAGGCCCTCCGGCAGGGGACCGAGACGCAGCCAGGACCCGGGCGGCGGTGCTCGAGTGGCAGCCGGCCGGGAGGGTCCTGTCCTCATTCGTCCTTCCAGGGACGCAGGCTGCCCCGGGACCGCAGTGCTCTTAAGATTAACTCTTTTTTTCTTTTAAGGGAAAAGTTTGTTGGAAAGATGGTATTTTTCCACCGGTGTTTTTACTGTAGGCAAGGCAGGCAAGAGGTCCACTTGGGAAGAGGCAAAGGCTTAGCTCCAGAGTAGCTCTGACAGTGGACACCGAATGTTCGCAGTCGCCTCCCTTACCAAAGGGTTGCTTTTTTCAATGAATCGAGGGAGAATTGGTGCATTGCCATACCAATTCCATAAGTTGACATTTTCTGGCTCTAATTTAATGAAGTCTCAAGGTGCTTTGAGGAAATGTCATCCAAAAATTTGACGGTACGTGATCTATAAAACAGCCTTTTTAGAATCAGAGGAAGTTTAGGTACTTAGCAGTGAGGCATTCGTTTGCTGGGGTTCTGTTTCACTAGAGACGAATTTCAGACGTGCTAAAGGCACAAAACTTCATGCATTTCTAGAACTGATGTGTAAGATGCAATGAGATCTGTTAAAGCTTTTTCCTGTTCTTCTGAGTTCCTTCATATTCTTTTATTAACATTTCTAATCAGCTCTGTTTTTGTTACATACTTCTGTTGACTTGAAAAATGCTCGCTGAAGTCCATCTTTCCTGCTTTTTGTAATTCAAAGTTCATCTTTTTTTTCTTTTTTTTTGATGGTGACTTGGCTTGTGGGGAGTCTTGCTCTCACATGAGAACCATTAGGGAATACCACGTGCCCATAAGTAAGCTCAGCTAGCGAGCCATTGAGAAATTTCGTATGTATGAGACGGCCCAGAAACTGATTCCACAAGCCGCTCAGAGAACCCCTCTTTACTTTTGTTCCCTTCGGTTTTATACACAAAAGTACACAGAAAGCAGATTGAGTTCCTTTGTTCACCTTGGTAGTGGACAGTGGGTCTCTTTCCTTTTTTGGCTGCTAGAAGCTCATTGTTTCTGGTGGGCTGTAAATCATCATTTGCTCACCTCTCTGCTCCTGTTGTACACTTGCCCAGTGTTTCTTAGACAAGTGACTAGTTTCCCCCCACCCCAGTCTCCCCTGCCCACAAGCGCGCACGCGCAAACACACACACACATACACACACACACACACTTTTTTCTCTTCTTCACGCCTTTTTACATCATGTAATTAATTTCATTCCCCAGAACTTTAAGAGAATGATACAGCATGAAGGAAGAAAGGTCTGTTGACAAATGGAAATACTGGGGTGTGTTCTTTAGGATGTGACCTCCAGGATACATTCATGTCTCCTCTTACTAAAAGTTGATCACCTCAGGAGTGGTCTCCAAACGTGAACCAAGCACAGCCTGCCCTGCGTTAGCCTTTCATTAATTCCCACAGTTCGTTTCCGGCAGGGGTTTTGATGTATGTGCCCTTCCCCTCCTCACCCAGTCTCTTGAAAATTTGATTGCTTATCAGATCTACATCTTGACGCAGTTTATCATTGATTTTTAAGTTCATGAATGTGTTGGTTTCCAAGATGTAATCTTGACACATTTGACTGTTTTGTCACTGGACCAAAACACCTGGTGAAGGATCCATTAAGTAATTGAGTAGAAAATAGTGTATTTTGGGTTTTTTTTTTTTAATTTTTTTGGTTTGTTTTAATGGAAAGCCTTTGTAAAGGAGAGCGCATTTTATTAAGTTTTACACTTGAAATTCAGTAACAGTTTTTCCAGGCCCATGTTTAAATTATTGAACTGAATAAAATACTTTTGAGGAGAGAATACTAACAAATTCATAATTTGTTAGTATTTGTTTGGGTGGCTTCTTAAAATTTACAGTCTTACTTGCATTGATTCAAATGGAAAATAAAACAGTGGAGTGAAAGATTTTGAGTAATTATGACTGACGTTGACCAGATTGACAAATCTCAGATCCCATTGCTAGTGTTTATAAAAATAAGATTTTTCAGAAAGCTGTTGAGACCTTAATAACAACCAAAAAGGAAAGAAAATGGAAGATTAAAAGAAGTGATTGTGGCGATTTAAGTTGATATGTTAAAATTTCTACTGTGTGATTTTTATTTTCATTACAACATGTTAGATTTTTACGTTGACGTAACGTTTATTTATTTTAAATAATCAAACCTTATGTACTACATCCTAATATCAAGCCTTTACAGGGACCAGCGGTTGTATATCACCAAAGGAAAATGTGCTGAACTTTTCAGCTAACAACATTGCCTCCTTGAGCTCGTGTTTTTGATTACCATAGGCTCATGTATTCTTCTGGTCATTCTCATGAGGAAGGCAGTTGAGATTCTTGACATCGATTTTGATGAACTGTAGGATGTAGTGGATGGTCGGAAATCCTTTTCATAGAAAAGAAATATGTGTGGCCACTTTCACAGAGAGTATTACAAAATTTCTTTGAACTACTTACACGTTTAAAAGGCTCCTTTTTGGTAAAAGTGGGGGGAGGGGAGAGAGAATTACTGCCCCTTTGGAAAAGGAACCCGGCACAGATCGGTTTCCATAGATAGCTGACCAGTGTGAACTCTGGCAGGCACATTCCAGGAACTCTTATGAATGGCTGCAATTGTGAACTGTCAACTGCAGCCATAAGACTGTTGAAAACCTGATTGTAAGGGTCCTTCAGTGGCACATATCTCTGTATCTTGTTAGTAGTTTTATTTATGTAGCTTGCTAATGACTACTGATAAAGTCATAAACTCTGAATGTTAAGTGGTGTATCCTGGTATGTGCTATAAATACAGATTTTGTGTAAGTTACAATACTAATTAATGGAGTTTTTCTTTTACTTGTGGTATACTTGAAGTTGAAGTTACATAAATTGAGTAGCAGGAGGCAGTCCTGTCACTGTTATAAAACTACTCTTAGCCTTTAAAAAAGATGACTCCTTACTTGAATCAGTATTTCATGGGAGTGTTTGCCTTCATTGCATTACAGTCGTTGTGCCCTTCCAGCATTTGCTGTGATACTAACAACGGTTCACTGTACTTTTATGCATCTTGAAGTATCTTTAAAGTACAGGTACCAGGGATTTTGTAGTCAACATGTAAAGTCTTGCGTATGAATGACGTCATTTGATATAAAGACTGATGGTGGAATTCATCAGATGCCATGCTGACTACTAAAATAGTTTAGTCACAAACATGGCTCTGAGTGAAGGAAATTAATCATGGATTTCCAGAAAGGCAGATGTTCCAAATTCCCCCAAATTAAGAATTGTATCAATAGAAATGTGACCTTTTATTTTCCTTAGTGACACATATATTGAAAAATCAGTGTCAACTTATAAAATCATTAAAACTGACCATAAGTCAACTTTTTAGAAAACGTGGATTATGTTTGTATGGATAAGGCACACTTTAAGTAACTAATTTAATGATCCTTTTTTGTTTCCTTATCAGGGAAGGAACTAAATTACTTTTGTAAGTCCTTTTATCCCAGTGGGTATATGTTTCCTACCTGAGAATAAGTTAATACTCTTATCTGTTTGTTCTTCAAGAGTTCTGGCACTGATTGAGAACAAGTAATAAGAACATGGCCACTGGATCTGTGAATCTGTTGCCTGTTCATTTCCAATGTATTGAGTTTTTCTCTGCACCAAAAGAAATTGGAGGCTGACATGCTTTCTTGGGCCCTCCCTTTACGGAGTGGGGTGTGTGAAAGGACCTTGACGTTTCTTTCCTGAAACACCAGAAGCTAAGCAGTGGGTGGGAGTTAGAGAGCTGTGGCAGACAGAAGAGATAGTGAAATCACATGACCCGTGATCTCAGCAGGAATAGGAACACTGATTAATAGCAATAGCCATGATAGAGTTCCTTCTTTTGAAAACTGGCTTGAACCAGTGTGTGTTTTTGTTTCTGAACGAGTCGTTTATTTCTAAATTGAGTTGCTCTTTAATAAGTAACTATGAGGAAGAGAAGCTTTGACCAAAAAATACATGTTTGATTCAATGCCTGAACAATGTTTCTTAAGTGATTTTTTAATAATAGAGCAGATTTCTAATAAATCTTAATAGTTGATTGGCAGGATTTAGGAGGCATGAGTAGCACAATTCCCGAATTTAATAAGTTTCAAGTTCATAGATTTTTTTTTAAATACTGAAGCAGTGGAGTTGTAATTTGAAGCTTCTCTTCTTGAATGTATGATCCGAGGTGTTGCAGCTACAGGGAATACACATACCGAAGTGATTACTATAATTCAGGTCTTTCCTGCAATAATGCTTGAGCACAGCTAATTACTTTGTCATCAATTATGGTGAAAGCTGGGGTTCTGCCTTAAAAACTTAGTGGCAGTAGTCACTTCTATCATTCCTATATATAAAAACATGACTTCACAATAAAGTTTAATGTATAGTATTTTTGTTGATAATCGTAAAGTACTATTCTAAAAAGCACATTTATATTATTTATCTTTAAGAGAGATGAATTGAGGACCAAAGTGAGGCAATTGGCCGAACTCGTGCTCTGCATGCAGGAGGCATGGTCCCATCATCAGCATCACACGGTGCTGGACACGACTATCACTAAATGCCTTGGTAATTCATACTAATCAGTAGGTAA